TGTAACACTCCGCTGTATACCCATCCGGTCCTGGGCTTTTCTTGGTTGGAAGTCTTTTGATTGCTTCTTCTATTTCATCTATTGTTATTGGTCTGTTTAAGTTGTGAGTATCCTCCTGACTCAGTCTGGGCAAATCATATGACTTAAGGAATTTATCAATGTCTTCACTATCTTCTATTTTATTGGAATATAGGTTTTCAAAATAATTTCTAATTGTCTTCTGTATTTCTGTAGTGTCTGTTGTGATATTGCCTTTTTCATCCCGTATGTTAGTGATTTGAGTTCTCTCTCTTCTTCTCTTCATTAGCATGGCTAAGGGTCTGTCGATCTTATTTATTTTTTCAAAGAACCAACTTTTAGTTTTGTTAATTTTTTCAATAGTTTCTTTTGTTTCAATTTCATTGATTTCCGCTCTGATTTTAATTATTTCTTGCCTTCTGCTACATTTTCTGTTGTTTTGCTCTTCCTTTTCTAGGGCTTTGAGATGAAGTGTGAGCTCATTTATTTGTTGGTTTTTCCTTTTTTTGAGGAATGACCTCCAAGCGATGAATTTCCCTCTTAAAACTGCTTTCATTGTGTCCCATAGATTCCGATATGTTGTGTCTGTATTTTCATTTATCTCTAAGAATTTTTTGATTTCTTCCTTTATGTCTTCTGTAACCCATTGATCATTCAGTAACATATTGTTCATTTTCCATGTGATGTAGGATTTTTCCTTCCATCTTTTATCATTGATTTCCAGTTTCATTCCATTATGATCAGATAAAATGCATGGTATTATCTCCACCCCTGTATATTTACTGAGGGTTGCCCTATGGCATAATATATGGTCTATTTTTGAGGAGGATCCATGTGCTGCTGAGAAAAAAGTATATCCACTTGATGATGGTTGATATATTCTATATATGTCAGTTAAGTCTAGGTTGTTGATTGTGATATTGAGTTCTATAGTTTCTTTATTCAGCTTTTGTTTGGAGGATCTGTCCAATTGTGAGAGAGGTGTGTTGAAGTCACCCATAATTATTGTGTTGTGGTCTATTTGATTCTTGAACTTGAGGAGAATTTGTTTTATGAACGTCGCAGCACCATTATTTGGTGCATAAATATTGATAATTGTTATGTCTTGTTGGTGAATAGTTCCTTTTAACAGTATATAATGTCCTTCCTTATCCCTTTTGATTAATTTAGTCTTGAAGTCAATTTTATTCGATATGAGGATGGCCACCCCTGCTTGCTTACGAGGACCGTGTGCATGGTATATTTTTTCCCAACCTTTCACCTTCAGCCTGTGTATGTCTTTTCCAATCAGATGTGTCTCCTGGAGGCAGCATATTGTTGGATTTGTTTTTTTAATCCATGTTACCAGCCTATGTCGCTTTATTGGAGAGTTTAAGCCATTAATGTTTAGAGTTACTATTGATATATGGTTTGTACTTCCAGCCATGTTTGATTATTTATATTCTTCTTTTTTTTTTTAAATTTAGTTTGTTTCTCCATGGTTAGCTTTCCCCCCGCCCTCTGTCTTTATAGAGGCACTTCCCACTGATGGTTTTGGTTATTGTTTTTCATTTCTTCCTCGTGTAGTGTTTTGCTCAAGATGCTTTGCAATGCTGGTTTTCTGGCTGCAAATTCTTTTAGCTTTTGTTTATCATGAAAGATTTTTATTTCGTTATCATACCTGAAGCTTAATTTTGCTGGATACAGAATTCTTGGTTGGCATCCATTGTCTTTCAGTGTTTGAAATACATTGTTCCAGGATCTTCTCGCTTTCAGCGTCTGTGATGAAAAATCCGTTGTTAACCTTATTGGTTTACCCCTGAATGTAATCTGCCTCCTTTCTCTTGTAGCTTTTAGTATTTTCTCTTTGTTCTGTATATTGGATATCTTCATAACAATGTGTCTTGGCGTTGGTCTACTGTGATTTTGTGTGCTCGGTGTCCTGTATGCATCTACAATTTGTATATCCGTTTCCTTTTTTATTTCTGGAAAGTTTTCTGTAATTATTTCTTTCAGCAGGTTACTCATTCCCTTGGTTTGAATCTCTGTACCTTCTTCTATCCCGATGACTCGTAGGTTTGGTTTCTTTATGTTATCCCATATCTCTTGGATGTTTTTCTCGTGGTTTTTAACCAGCCTTTCTGAGTTGGCTAGGCTCTTTTCAAGATGATATATTTTGTCTTCATTATCTGATGTTCTGGCTTCTACTTGCTCCACTCTGTTAGTGATACTCTCAATTGAGTTTTTAATTTGGTTTATCGTTTCCTTCATTTCTAGAATTATTTTTTGTTTTTTTTTTATAATCTCAATCTCCTGATAAAGATGCTTAACTTCTTCTTTTATCTGTCTATGTAATTCATTTTCAAAGTGTTCTTTCACTGTTTGGATTTGCTGTCTCGTATCTTCTTTAAGGTTCCATTCCATCTGTCTAAGGTATTCCTTGAGTTCTTTATATGACCATTTTTCTGCTGACTCTAGGTCCTCCTGAATATTTAGACTGTCCTTCATTGTTTGTACTCCTTTTCTTCCTTGCTTTTTTATGCTGCTCATGTTACTTCTTGTTCTGTTTGACTGCTGAGTTACTGTTTACTCTTATAGATTTATTTGATGCTTGAGAGGAAAGATATTAGAAGGGAAGGGAAGAAGTCACTAAAGAGAATGAGAGTAGGCAGGTAGAATTCAAGGAAGGGGGAATAAGAAGATTGAAAAGAAATGAAAAGACAAAAGAAACAAGAATAACAAAGATTAGATAATAAAGAAAGAAAGAAAAGACGAAAAAAAAATTTAACAAAAATAATAGTGATAATAAAAAATGAAAATTAAAATTAAAATAATAATAATAATAATAAAATAAAAAAATTAAAAAAATAGAAACATTTAAAAAAAATTAAAGAACAACAACAAATAAAAATTGAAAATGAAAGAAAAAGAAGAAAAAAAAGAAAAAAAAAGAAAAAGAAAAGAAAAGAAAAAAATGATAATAATAATAATAATAAATGCAGTCCTAGCGTTCTATTAACTTCTCTTCCAGTAGGTGGAGCTGTGCCCACTGGGCCAAGCTTCTCCTCTCAATAGGTGGGAACCATTCACTGTGCAGCAGCTCTTTCTCCTAGACTGGGCGGGTCTCCAATCCTGAGTGTCTAGGGCCTTGTCTTGTGTTTCCTCAAGCCAGGCCGTGCTCACCTGTGGCGCTCACCACAATACTGGCTACACGCCAGGTCTGCTGCTCCTGGGAGCCCTGTTTTCATGAACACCTGGGCTCACTCTCCCTGTTTGCCTCCCTCAGACCCTAAGTTTGTAGAGCTTGGGGCTGAGATCCCCCAGCGAATTTGCTTGCCCTCCTGTAGCCACGCCCCCGGTAGCTGGTGCAAGAGACCTCAGTTGTCAGCACTGGTGGGAGCGGTAGCCGGGAGTTCCGCGCCGCGAGTCCCGCGCCACTCCTGATTCCCTCGGTCTGGTTATTGCGTTCACAGGAGAGCTGGGAGTGGCCCTTAAGGTTTCCCCGCTGTGTGGAGAGAGATGGCTAGGGGATTACACACCTGTCGCGCTGGTTTCAATGCAGTTATCTCCTCCGCCCGTGACGCCATTTCTCTGCCATGGTGATATCCCATGCAAATGGTGACCGTTCGTTCCCTTTGCCGGATGACCAATGCAACGGGTGGGTCCTGACTGTCTCTCCCAATCCCCGTTTCAGTCCTGTGGCCACTGCCTATGAAGGCTCGGTTGGCTTTTACCTCTGTAAGTTCCTAAGGGCCGGCCAATTATTTCAGCGGGATCGTTAGTGCTGAGTCACACGAAGCAGGCGAACCGGAGCTTAATTGCCTCCGATTCGGGCTCTGTGTGTGTGTTCTGAGGAGCCCAGCCTGTACACCCCAGATCCACGTCAGCTCAGCATTGCCTAGTGATCCTGAGCAAACAGCATTTAGACAGTTTACGGCTCCCTATGCCCGCGCAGTTGAAGATGTCAGAGACTTGATCTCTCTGTGCCTGCCACCATGTTACATCTCCTCAGTAATATTCATGTTGCCCTTACAGCTTCCTGGTATAAGCAAGTTCTTGGGATTATATAAACTGCTGCTTCTGTTTCCAGTCCAGATTTCTAGAAATGAAACTCTGGGCCGCACTGACGAGCGTCCGCGCTTGTCTGCGACCATAGCAGAGCCGCCCTGGCCTCCGCAGCTCTTCAGCCCGGTGCCAGGCCCCAGGGGCCCAAGCGGCTGCCGCCGCGGCTCTCCGTCCCCCTCCTCCGGAGCACGGGTCCCCTGGCAGGGGGGTGCAGAACGACCCCAGAGCAGGCTCTGCCCGAAGGTGCAGCAGCGAACAGGCCACAGAGACGCTCGAGGCTGCAGTCCAGCCTTCGGAGGACAGGGCTCGGCACGCAGCCCAGCTCCAACCTCTAGGTGCGGCTGCCGGACAGTGTATACAGAGCCATCAAGACAGCAAGCAAAAAAAAAAAAAAAAAAGAAGACAGCAAGCAGAAAGCAAATGGCGGCTCCCGCGGAGTGGATTTTCGGCACAGAAACCACAGCCCCGCCAGCAATCCCAATCCACAAACTCTCCCTGTATAAAAAATATTCAAAAAAAAAAAAGAAAGAAAAAAAAAAAAGGCGGGGCGCACTGAGCTTTCTTTGCCTCTGGTACTTACAATCCACTGCTGATTACACATTCAGCTTCTCCGCCCGGAGCGAAGCGAAAGAGGAAGCAGATGGGAGCAAAGCGCCCGCTGCTCTGAGCAGCCAAGCGTCTCTTTTTCGATTTCTTTGTTCTTCCCGCTCCTTGGCAAAGTGGTCCACTACAGATTAACGGTGAAAGGAGCTTTAACAGACTGTGCGAAATCTCTATTAAAGCCGTTGCTTTGAGCACCACGCTCAGCACTTCAGCAACCCCCGTACGCAGCGGCCATCTTCTCCCCAGGTGAGACCTGGATTCTTGAAAGGTTTATTCAGATCAACATAAGGAGCTTATTCTATTCCATTCTCTGTTTGGGACAACTGCGAGTGCAATCACTGGGTGATCTGTATCCCTAACACTCTCCTCAGAGCCTTAGCTACATCATTATTCCAGAAAGCATAAATCAGAGGATTCAGAGTGGGATTAATGATGCTATATAACACAGAACCAACTTTGTCTTGCCGTGGAGTGCACTGGGACCTGGGCCTCATGCATGAGAAGATGCAGGTACCAAACCAGAGAGACACCACAATGAGGTGGGAGCTGCAAGTGGCAAAGACATTTCTCTTACTCCCAGCTGAATGCATCTCAATGACACTGTGCAGGATGAAGCCATAGGATGTAGAAACCAGGATTATGGGGAGGAGGAGAAGTACGATGGTGCTGATGTACACTGTGGACTCATAGACAGTGATGTTAACACATACCAACTTCACAACAGCTGGATACTCACAGTAGAAGTGGTGTATTTTCCGAGTCCCACAGAAAGGAACGTGCATCAAGATTAAAGTGTGAATTAGGGAGTTCAGAGATGCCCCCAACCATGATGTGAGGGCCATCATCACTGCCACCTTCCTGCTCATGAGCACAGTGTAACGCAGAGGATGACAGATGGCAACATACCTGTCATAGGACATGAGAGCTAGCAGAAGACACTCAGCACCACCCAGAGACAAATAGAGGAAGTGCTGGGTGGCACATCCCAGGAAGGAGATGGACTTCCTGCCAGACAGGTAGTTGGTAACCATCTTGGGGATGGTTGTGCAGATATGCATCAGGTCCATGAGGGAGAGCTGGCTAAGCAGGAAGTACATGGGTGTGTGAAGCCCACGATCCACACAGATGAGGATGATGATGAGGGTGTTGCCATTCAGTGCAACAAGGAAGACCACCATGGTCAGGCAGAAAAGGAAAAGGTGGGTCAAGGAGTCTTCAAAGAGCCCTTCAAGGATGAAGTCTGCCAGAGACATCTGATTCCTCAGCCACACGGTCCCTTCTCAGTCCCTAGGAAAACAGGGAGTAGAGACAAAGTGTGATGCCAGAAATATGGGATCCTTTGTACATGGAGATCAGCTCTTTTGATCCAATGAAACATTTGTGAAGAGATTTTTTTCTCTATTTGTAATTATCCTGCAGCTGAAATTATTCAAATTCAGTTTTTTCAAAACAAGAGAAACCTAATATTTGTTATCACAATCATGGTCATTTGAAATTCCAAGACTCTACTAAGGGCCAAAATTTATGACTCTTCTTACTAAATATAGGCATATGTGTGTGTAATCATATGTGTGATTTGTGTTAGTGTGTGTCTATGTTTGTATGGTTGTTGGATTATGTTTCTTATTTTACCAGGCAGGTTTTATCAAGAGCATCTGAACCACTAAGACATTTCTATTAATACATGTAATTGTTAAGGGTGGCGTTACAGAACTTTGGCCTTATTTCTATGTGGAAGCTGGTTAAGGAGTTAGTGTACTGCTGTCATGTTTAAGTCTGATGTGGGAACTTTAAGTCTACAGGACAAGCAGTAGAAAGGGAAGATAGTACAAAGCAAGGCAGACAATAGACAGATGAAATACAAAAGCATGAGCTGTGACCCCACAAGAGAAAACAAACAAACAAAAAAGAGTCAGTTCTGCTTGCCTATGGAATTAGGCACTGGGGTTCTTTTTTTTTTATATTGGCTCCTTTGAATTCTACAAAATATTTGGATTTCTTTTAACATGATTAAAAAGCATAAAATAGGCCTCAATTCAGTCCCCATGCTTCCCTTTTCCCTCTCCTCCTCCCTTCCTCTGATCCCTTCCCTCTACTCTGCTGATCTGCTATTTATTTAGAGTTTTTTTTATTAGTTACTTGTGGATATACATCCAGATGAGATCCATATGGTATATTCATATAGGCACATGGGAAATTCAGATTTCTAATGAAGCTAAAAGCACACCCCTAGCCCAGAATTCCAAGAGCCTAAAGGAGAATCCTGGGAAGGTAGAGCAACTGCAGGCCGAGCCACTGCTCCATACCAGTGAGGTGTGAGCCATCAGACCAGCAACAACATATTAGTACTACAGGATGGCTGCTCCCCTTCTGCCCTCTAATTTTCCAGGAAGCTCTTCTAAGATCCAACTTAACTAGAATTGAGAAATTAGAGAGAATTTTGGGAAATGTAGTTCATCCTAGACAACCTCACCCATCACAAAATCACTACAGTCCATCTTTTGGCACACATTCACAACCTCCACCAGTCAAGTTAACCTCCAAATACAAAAACGATACCTGTGTAACTAAATACAATACATCCAGCATGAAGGAAAACACGTTAACCCTTTCTCCAGGAGAAAATCCAAAGTTCTTTATTTCACCTAGGGGAGATATTCATTTCTCTGATACATGTGTCCCCTTTAATATCCTGGAACTTCAAAATTTTCTGAATGATATATATGAAAAATATTTTTATGGCAACAAGAAAGAAATACTCATCACTACCACCCATGGGATAGAGATTCTTATCCAAAAATTGGTTAACCAGTAGTTTGGATATCAACCCCTGTTTCCTCACTCAGTCCTGACATCTGCTCAATAGATCCAGGAACAAACTGGACATAGCATCAGGGGTAAAGTTAATCCCTGGATTCAGCATGATGGACTTACACTCACCAAGGCTAATCTGTCTGAAGCCACTGCTGAATACTCATGGCTAACAGCAAAGACCATCATGAGTTCCCCACATCACACCAGTCCCTGGGGTGATCAGCCAGCCCCTCCATAGCACATTGATGACATTGGACCACATTCAACATGAAAGGGACACTCCTTTTTTTTTCCTGGACTGGACACTCACTCTGGGTATGGATTTTGCTTCCTCACTTGAAGTGCTGCTGCCAGAACTAACATCTCTGGACTCACAGAATGCTTTATTTGCCATAAGAGTATTCCATGCAGCATTGCTCCTGATCAAGGAGCTGGATTCACAGCAAACAATTGTGAAATATGGCCTGTGTTTATGGGATTTGTTATACTTAACATAGGTCCTCCATCTTCCTGAAACACAGAACCTGATAGAATGGTGAAATACCCTGGTAAGACTCTGTCTCAAGCAAAACCTAGGTGGCAACACCTCTCATTGCTGGGCCAATGTCCTCCAGGGTGTGATACATGCTCAATGTCTGCATCTAATTTATGGTACTACTTCCCTCACAGCAAGGATTCATAGGATCAGACCCCAAGCATTCAATGGATAGAAATGAGAGTGTGTTCTCTCCCTATAACATTGATGTTTATGACCCACCAACATTATTTGTTCCTATACTTTTCAGTTCTGCTGCTTCAGAAAACTCTTAGCTACAAAGCCAGAGATTCTTCTACCCAGACACAAAGTGATTCCATTTTCTGAGAGTTGAGGTTGCCCTGCTGCCACTTTAGGATGCTCATTATATCTGAATCAGGTGAAGGAGAAGGTCACTCTGTAGCATGGAGTGATTGATTCCTACTAGGAAGGGGAAACTCAGTTGCTACTACACAATACAGAGAGGAACAGCAAGTGTGACATAGAACATTATCTCGGTGTCTCTTCAAACTCCCCGGTCCTGTGATGGAGGGCAATAAGAAACTAAATCCCAAGTGAGGTCACACTGATAAGGGTTCAGATCCTTCAGAGATGAAGGTTTGGGTCACCCACCTGACCAGGAATAATAACCAGATGTGAACCAAGGCAGTTTGGACTGTGGAGTGAAATGGGATAGTTATAAAGACCAGTAATGACCATGTGGACAACCCTCAGGAACACAGACTGCCATACTTTGTGCATTTATTCTTAATGGTGATAAGAATTTGTATATTTATATTACACAAATTAAGTGTTTGTTTCATTGTCATCCTCTTATCAAATATGAGGTGTGAATAATTCCTAAAATCATATCTCAGTATTTAAATAACTAGATATAAATGAAGGAGTATGAATTCTTAGAAATAGAAAAAATAGCACACAACGTACAAAATAAGGATTTTTTTTCCCTTAATGAGAAAAGGGTTGTATATTTTATATACTCTACTTGGGAAAAGTTGACGACATCTTAGATTATACATAGAATAGTCATATCATATTAGGTAGAAGGATATATTATGTGTCTTTATTTGAACATTGAGCAAAATTTTTTAAAAATGCCTGAGTGCTGTGCTGACACAAAACAAAGCAAACATACCTATGTCCTGGGTAGATTTGTGAGTCAACAGATTACATAAAATGCTGACAAAACTAGGTTTTTCACATTGATTCAGCCACACTTGCCAATCTGCCCTCTCTCCAGTTCTCCCACAAACACTAATCAGAATGAGAAGTTGATCTCCATGGGGAAATTAGACTCAAAAAAGTCATAAACTAAGTAGAGTCTTCCATTACTTCTTGTGTCTTACCTCCTAAATATCTTCCTATACTTTCACAGATTCTGAATCATTGATGTTCATTAACAGGAAAGAACCACCTCCAATGAAGGAAAGTGCTCATGACAATTATAAGAGTAAATACCAGTAATTAAAAATAATTATGTGAGTATAAAAAATAAACTTCAAAAATAAAAGCAAAAAACACAGGACTTAATGCATTCTAATCAAATTTCAACTCTACCAGTAAAAACGAGTTCACATTTATTTTTCTTCTGTCCTAGGGTCGCTGTAGGATGATACTGACATCGTGTCACACTGTTACTTCCTGCTCAGCTTCTGTGGACTAAGAGAACAATTTCAACCCTGGTTCCCCTGATTACTCCAACCCAGTCAACATGATCTGCACACATCTTTTCTACCTAATTATCCACACACATCTCTTTCTTCATTAGTTTCTGACTATTTCTATGAACCTCCTTGGCATAAGTTTTCCATGATCTGGCTCTCTTCTCTCTTCCTTCCTTAGGCAACCCATTCTTGTATCCCTTAAATTATGTTTTTCTCTATCTTCTCAGGAAGCATCCTCATGTGCTGATGAAATAACACCATTGACTAAAGGATAACCTCAAAATGCCCTAGTTTCTAATAAAGGCTTCTGAACACCTCAAGCACCAACACTATCTTACTTGCAATTTGCTCTGCAGAGATTTGTGTACAGAAGTGAAATGGAGAGAGAAGAACATCCTCCCAGCCACACATTGGTTATTGGTCTTCCACACAAGCACTTGCTGAAGTACTCCTCAGACTCCTCCTCTAACCCTGGAAGCTGCATCTTCTAGCGGAATACCAGAGAGAATATTTGTCCAGCTCACTCATCATGGTTTGCACTAATTATCCTAGTGATGGAGCATCACACAAACAATAGGACATGGTGTTCTAGGACCCTCTCAAAATCTGTGTTCATTATTTTGAGCCCTGTCAGACAGATTAAGTAAAACTGAACACATATGGCCCCTACTAGTTGGGACCTCTTGTGGTGCATATGTTTCCTCTTGACTCTGAACTTATATTTGAACTTCCTTCCATTACCAGATCGAGAACCTGAGAAATAGGAATGGCCATTCATGTTACCTGAGTAAGATAGTAAACATAACACAAGCTTAATCCTCAATGCTCCCAGAGTCCAACAAAAATCCACTTTGCAGTCTCTGTGGTTTTGGATCACTATAGCACCCTCGTCATAGATTTACCCTCATTCCCTAGTAGTAACATGCAAGTATGTATGTATTATGCAGTTACTAAGCTCCTTCCACACCACAGAGATGTTTCCTCAACAGTATCAAAGGGGTCAGAAGAGGCCAGACTGGCCTGACCTGAGCCAGTCATGAGAGAAGAGGTGCTTGCTCCATGAGGATGAAACATCCTCCAGGTCCTCAGGACCTCTGATGTCAGCAGAGGTGAATAGAGATCTGAAGACTGATGGCATAAGGGATTCCCACTAAGAAGACCTACACCAGATGTCTTCTGGGCACCATTACCCAAGATACCAATTAGTCTGTACCCTGTGCACTGAAGTGAGTATCCCATGGTGCTGTACTTGAAGTTTGTTTGCAGGGGTGGGGGAACTGGGTAATTTGGGGGATCTGGTTCTGAATATAACATGGGAATACTCTCTCTAGGTGCTAGTTAATAATACAGAGTAACTGTTCCTACAGTCCCTGATTTGTTTTGTTCATTACAGAATCCAGGTCTCTGTAGCCCCTTTACATGCTACTCTTTTGAGAAGACAGTCTGAGTGTCTTTTTGCCCAGTGGCCACTTTACTGCTTTATCCCATGTGTCGTATTGTAGAAATGGCATCATGTAATTCCCATGCTCAGTCTTGTTGGTGCTTCAATTCTATGGACCACATAAAATAGCATGTTAGGAGATTTTATATGGACCAATAGAACGAAAAGTGCATTCTCTATATTTCATTCACTCCCATATTTTATTCACTCACTTCCCTCCTCTCATCATAAGCATATTTGAACTCTTCTTGTTTCTTGTTTTGAAGCACCAACAAGACTGAGTGTGGGAATTACCTGCTATCATTTCTATAATACCACACATGGGAAAAAAACCAGAAAAGTGGCAACTAGCCAAGAAGACACTCAGACTGTTTCTCTTTTCTCAACTCAGATATTAAAATGCCTTGCTTCACTGAGCTTACCTTGACTCTATATCATGGCTTGTTGTTTAAGTAGAGGAAACATATTATCACTTGCTTCAAAACCTACAGACTATTACTTTTATCTGGTACCTCCCTTTATGACAGAATATAGTTTTAATTTAGGCAGTCTTGGCATTTATAATGATTTATTCATTGTTTGAGATATATTTTATGAGTGCCCGCTGCATTCCAAGAAGTGTACTGATTACATAGTGATAACAAGCATGAGGGGTCTTTACTCCTTAGGAGTTACAGACAAAACTATGTCAACTTGAGTTTAGGATTTGTATTAATCAATATCCAATGCAAGTGACATAAAAAAGAATGGGTTGCATCTTTTTTCTTTTTATTTATGTCTAACATTAGGATTAATTTTGACATAATTACAAAGCATGGAATGTAATTTGTTCCAATTCAGTCTGCAGTATTTCACTTTCCCTTCCTTCCTCCCTCTCCCTTTTCTTTCTTCTACTTTACTCATCTTTCTGCTATTTACTTTTAGGGTTTTTAAATAGAAACTTGTCAATATACATTATGTTGAGATTCCTTGGGAAATATCCATGTATGTGGTATAATCAAATATGTATTTTACATATATTCATATATGTGAAAGTTCGTTCAGATTCACTCTGCTGTTCTTCCCTTATCATGTACCATCTCCCGCTTCTCATTACCCTTTATCTAGTCCACCTATCTCACTTTAATTTTGATAGAAGGAAGGTACAAGATAAAAGTAATAGCCTGTAGCTTTTGAAGCAAACATTAATACGTTTCCTCTACTTAAACAACAAGCCTTGATATAGAGTCAAGGCAAGCGCAGTGAAGCAAGGCATCTTAATATCTGAGTTGAAAAAAGATAAACAGGAATAGCTCAAATATGCTCATGATGAGAGGAAGACAGTGAGTGAATAAAACATGGGAGTAAATGAAATGTGGGAAAGTGCACGGTTCTTTCTATTGGTTCATATAAAATCTCTTGACATGCTATTTTGTGTGGTTCATAGAATTGAAGCACCAACAAGACTGAGTGTGGGAATTACCTACTATCATTTCTATAGTACGACACATGGGAACAAGACAGAAAAGTGGCAACTGGGCAAGAAGACACTCAGACTGTCTTCTCAAAAGAGTAGCACAGAAAGGGGCTACAGAGACCTGGATTCTGTAATGAACAAATCAGGGACTATAGGAATTAACTCTGTATTATTAACTAGCTCCTAGAGAGAGTATTCCCATGTTATCTTCAAAACCAGATTCCCCAAATTACTCAGTTCCCCCTCCACTGCAAACAAACTTCAAGTACACACCATGGGATACTCACTTCAGTGCACATGGCCCAAGTTAATTGCTATCTTGGGTAAAGGTGCCCAGAGGAGATCCAGGGTATGTCTTCTGAGTGGGAATCCCTGATGCCATTGGTCTTCAGATCTCTATTCACCTCTGCTGATATCAGAGGTCCTGAGGACCTGGAAGATGTTTCATCCTCATGGAGCATGCACCTCTTCCCTCATGACTGGCTCAGGTCAGGCCAGTCTGGCCTCTTCTGACCCCTTTGATTACTGTTGAGGAAACATCTCTGTGGTATGGAAGGAGCTTAGTAACTGTATAACACACACATACTTATATGTTACTACTAGGGAATGAGGGTAAATCTATGATGAGGGTGCTATAGTGATCCAAAACCACAGAGACTGCAAAGAGGATTTTTGTTGGACTCTCAGAGCATTGAGGATTAACCTGCTATTATGTTTAGTCTCTTACTCAGGTATGAGTAAGATGGTTTGGATGGTTTGACAGTTATGACAGTTTAATAGTTTAATGGTTTGACAGTTGCCATGGGGTGCATTCTGATTGGTTGGTAAGGATCATGTGAGCCAGCATGGCTAGTCTGATTGGTGGATAAGGATCATTTGAGCCAGCAGGGCTCACCATTGTATAGTTCTTCTTGGGGGGATGGGGAAGTTAGTCTTTGGATCTGGGGTAACTCCCAATATTCCCCCCTCTTTGTTATTAAATGAGAGTGGGCATCGACTCATTCTAGCTGATTCCTGCTGAGAGGGGTGGTGTAGGATAATCAGAGAGGAGAGATGTAAGGAGCCCCCACAGGATGGCAGAGAGGACCGGTATAAATTCAGGAACCAGATCAATGAAGGTTCCTTGCACCACAGATCCATGATGATGTCAGTCTGTTCAGCATAGGTTTCTACTGTAGGTATCATCAGTTGTCAGGAGTTGATAATTCCTGAGGAGAAGCTGGTTAAAAGCTTGATTAGAAATTTTTTACCCACCTGAGTCTGAATGAACTTTATGACAAAGGGAAGGAACAGGCACAGGGAGTTTTTATAGCCCAAATCTAATGGGGTCTCTGGGTCTGCAAGTTGACTTGTTGGTACAAGGGGGTTAAGTGTTCAGCCTTGAGTGGGGGCTTGAGCGTTTGGGCTAGCTCCCTCCCCTCTCTATTCAAACTCTCTCCTATCTGGGTGTCTCTGAAACCAGCTTGCTTCTCTCTTTACCTTTCTTGAAATATCCCAGCTTTCCAAACCAGCTTGCTTCTCTCACTTATCACTGTTCCCAGCTTTCCCTAGGCACACCAAGAAAACACTGGCTTTGTAATAAAGAAGGCAGCTTCTCCCACGTTCTGAACCAAGGTGGCCAAGGGGGGATGGTGGCCAATTGTTACTAGATTTCCCTTTGAGAGCAGTCAGATCTCTCCAGGTTTTATGTGAAACACCTCAACCTTAAATACTGATACTTGAAATTATTGTGAAACTGGGAGGTTAAAAAAAAACACACATATTCCTCCTTAGGCACAGAAGGTAACTGGTAAAGTGCTCTCTTATTATTAAGGTAGTTCACACTTACTCAGTGGTCACCATGCTCTGGACACCTAAGTGGTTTATCAGAAGGACAACACACAACGGTCCCACTACTGGCCAGATCCAAGCAAGTAGGGGTTCTGTAAGGAGGAGAAGGGGATCTGGCTGGAGGGGGCCCTTAGGGTCACTTTCTTTGAATCTCCAGACATAGGGCAAAGAGAGGACCTAAGAGGGGCCAGAAATGAGGGGGAGCTTTAGGTATTGGGCTAAGAATGGAGACATGGGAGAGGCGGAGCTTGAGGGGTTCTTGTGGGGAGGGATGACAAGAGTACTCGATGACAGGTGATGATCATTGGCTCTTCTGATGAAGGTGTAGGAGCACCAGGCTTAAGCCTGGAAATGTGAATCCACAGGGTAAGTTGGTTATTAAACAGCTTGAGTTTGGCTGCCAAGGGAGTGCACATAATCACCTGAGCAGGACCCTACTATTTTGGTTTTAGAGCGGGCTTTTCCCCCAGTTGGAAATAGTAAACAATTTGACCAGGTGTTAAGGAGGTAGGGTTTTGAAAGAGCCACGGGTCAGGAATGAGCCAGTCTTGATAGCGCCAGAGTTCAGAGCATAGATGGAAGAGGAGGGGCAAGGCAAAGGTTATAGAGATGTGTAGGGGTTCTGTAGACAATCCGAGAGGAACAAGGAAATGGCCATACAGGATTTCAAAATGTGAGAGATTAGAAGGCTTCTTTGGCAAGGCTCTAATGTGCAATAAAGCCAAGGGGAGCACTTTTACTCAGTCCAGGATTAATTCCATGGTGAGCTTGGTGAGGGTCTCTTTAAGGAAGCCATTGGTGCTTTTGACCTTTCCGGAAGCCTGGGGTTGGTAATGGCAATGGAAATGCCAAGGGAGTGAGAGTGCATGAGCCAATCCCTGAATTATCTGAGAGGTGAATTCTGGGCCATTGTCTGATTGGATAGAAGTGGGCATCCTGAAATGGGGGATTATGTGAGTAAGCAACAGATCAACTACTGTAGAGGCCTGTTTGTTAGAAGTGGGAAAGGCTTCAACTCATCCTGAAAAAGTATCTACCAATACAAGAAGAT